GTCATAACCAGCGGTGTGCGATTTGTGGGTGTTTTTCTTCTGTACTGCAGCAGTTCTTCACGTGGTATCCAGGTGGCTCTTTCAAACGTGTGATCTACCTCTCTGGAGGAGTGTCCTTGCTGGGTGAAAGCCTTTTTAAGATTGGTGAGATGGCGATCCCGGGTGTGCTCTTCAGTACAAATGCGGTGGTATCTGGGGGCTTGGCTGTATATCACAGCTTTTTTGGTGTGTTTAGGGTGATTGCTGGTTCTGTGCAGATATCTATGTTGGTCTGTGAGTTTCGTGTATACTGTGGTCTGTATTTTACCCTTCTGGATACTGATCATTGTGTCTAAAAAGGAGATGTTGGTGCTGGAGTATTCTAAAGAAAATCAGATGGAGGGATGGTGATTGTTGAATTTCTGGTGGAACTCAATCAGAGATTGCAGGTTCTCAGTCCAAATGATGCAGATGTCATAGATGTATCGTAAGTACAGCAAGGGTTTGATGGTACAGGAATCTAGGTCCTAAACTCCTTATTTACGACAACTCCCATGGATCTGCTTCAGGGCTTCCCATGTCTGCACCCAGGCAGGGCCTGGAATCTGGGCTACACTCACACCAAGAAATCAGAGGGTGGGAATATCAATACTGATGGGAAACCTTTCCAATAACAAGGGGAATTCAATTTTACTTATTCCAGGCAAAGATGGACGGGGCAAAGGCTAAAAGAGCCATGTAAACCAACCACAGTGAAAGTTAGATGTGAACCAAAACACTTTGGGGTGATTGTAGGAGAATGGCAATGTAAATTATAACTTACATTACATGGTAAATATTATGTGCCACTTTCCCTAACGGCTAAAGGATATTACCAGCTGATCTGTTAATTAGCTCCAAAAAGCCCTAAGCGGATACTGTTCTGTCTGCCCTACACAGGCACCTCTCAGCATTAGCTAGCATAACACATGCTGGCTACGGTCCGTGCAGGGGGAGAGGGGTCAGGTGAATCTCTGTCGGAGCTCCAGCCAGGGAGCAGAGAGGTGCGACAGC